AACTTTGGAGAAGAATTGTGGCTCCATTATTATGCAATTATTTTGCACTAAAATGTACCAATCAGCAGCACAAACAGCACATTAGGACAATGGTTGTCCAGCTACCATAGAGAGTTCATTATTCCCTCGTTCATTTACATGTTAGCAAGTTGCAGTCATGAACAGTTACATTAATTCATACTAATGCTGAGTGATAATAACATTGAGCCAGTTTAGTCACATTTATGCTCATACTTAACAACTGAAATAAGCAGAATTTACATCAAAGCAGGTAGAAAGCACATCTGTCATAATTATACTCTACACATATCTACATACAAACATGCCCCCACACATTTATACTCCTATTTTTCTAAATACTTATAATCCATCTTTTATTTCTGCCTTTTTTCCCTTTTTTTGTTGCTGCTTTCAGCCTGTTTGTTCCATGTTAAATGTGTGTTGTTTTATTGTTTTCGCCTGTAACACTGTATTATCTGCTCTTGTCCGTGGGAACAGGTCATGATTTCTGCTCTGGAGAGATGGCAGTTGTGATGTTGGCAGCCCAGAGGAGTCCGTTTTTCACCCTTTGCAGCAATGCATCAGCATCAGCACTGCCAAACTCTAGACACAGCGTCACCACAGCAGTATAGCATGTGAGAACGACGGCAATTATGGTAAGTGCAATCACATATTATGTATCTAAAGGCTTTAAGTTTCCACATCTCACTTGTGTAAGAAAACTGTTAGACTGGGACAGGCGTCCACACAAGTCAGGATATCCCAGCCAGTAACGCCTTATCTCACATTTCAGAGGAGTCAAGAAAAACTCTCCACTCCCAGCAGATGGATTTGAAAAAAACGTCAAACCACTGACAGGTGACGTGAATAGCATTATCTCATTATTAAGACACCTGACAAGAAGTAGGATATATCAGGTAGTAGGTGAACAGTCTTTTTCTGGAAACTGATGTGTTTGAAGCAGGAAAAATGAGCACTGAAAGGACCAAAAAGTGATGGCTGGATGGCTTAGTCAGAGCCTTCAAAACAGCAGGCTTTATGGGGTGTTCTAGGTATGCAGTAGTTAACAAAAGTGGTCCAGTGAAGGACAACTGACTACCCAAGGATCACTGATGTGTGTAGGGAACGAAGGTTGGCCTAGACAGCCAAATCTAAATAACTGCTAATATTGTTTCATGATGCAAAGCATAGTGGCTGCATTATGATGTGAAGTGTAGTGGTGGCATCAACATGTGAAGCATCATCATCATCATGGTGGCACCACCACCCTGCTTCACATGATGATGATGATGATGATGTGAAGTGTAGAGGCAGCATCATGATGTGAAGCACGGTGGTGGCAGCATCATGATGTGAAGTGTAGTGGTGGCATCATCATGTGAAGCATCATCATCACCACCATGCTTCACATGATGATGATGTGAAGTGTAGTGGTGACATCATCATGTGAAGCACGGTGGTGGCAGCATCATGATGTGAAGCACGGTGGTGGCAGCATTATGATGTGGGGATGCTTCTCAGCAGAAGCTCTGGAGGGTAAAACTAATCCAGCAAAGTATAGTAACATTGACCAAAATGTGTTTTTGAGTTTCGTCACAGGTTAAATTAGACGCCACATTTCTTTGTAGGCCTGT